CTTAAAGAAAGCATTTGACTGCGTAAATCATAGCATTTTGTTAAAAAAATTACAACTCTATGGTATAAATGGAGTGGCATATAGCTGGTTTAAATCGTATTTAACAAATCGAACCCAAATGTGCAAGATCGGACAAACTAGGTCGCAACAACATACCATACGTTGTGGAGTACCCCAAGGATCTAATTTGGGACCACTACTGTTTCTCCTATATATAAACGATCTACCAAACTGTTTATCGTATACATCTGCGAATATGTTCGCAGATGATAGTACTAATATAACAACAAAAGGTTCCAACGTAGAGGACATTCAAACGCGTTTAAATGATGATCTAGAACAGATTCATCAATGGTTATTGGCAAATAAATTGACTTTAAATAAAGATAAAACAGAATACATGATAATTGGTTCGCGACAAAGACTATCAAAGATTGAAACTGACCCTGTAAATGAATTAGGTGAAACAAAAATTAAGCGTGTTAAGTATTCGAAAACGTTAGGCATTATTATAGATGATCAACTTTTGTGGAAAAAACAAGTGGAAACCACTGTATTCAAGGTGTCTAAAGGTATAGGTATGCTGAGACGAATAAAGAGTTGTGCCCCAAAAAGAACATTGATAAATGTTTACAACGCGATAATACTGCCATATTTTGATTACTGTAGCCTTGTTTGGACTATAACTGCAGCGAATATCTGCGCGACAAAATGCAGAAAATGCAAAACAGGGCTGCAAGGGTCATCACTGGTAGACCATATGAAATAGCAACAAAAGAAATATTTGAGGAATTAAATTGGCAACCCTTAGCTGATCGATGGGAGAAAAATAAGTTATTGTTTATGTATAAAGCGAAAAATAGTGAGCTACCAGAAAGTATGAACCAACTGTTCGAAATCGCTAATAAACAAAACTACAATTTACGCAGCAACGGTAATGATTTTCTTTTACAAAAGCCAAAAACAAATTACCTGAAAAAAAGTATCAGTTATAATGGAGCAATAGCGTGGAACAATTTGTCAAATAATGCAAAAGCAACAAATATGACAATTGGCCAATTTAAGGCTGCTCTCGACCGCAAATAATACGTGATTTTCTTCTGTAAATATTTTTCTATATTTGATATTTCCTGCATGTTAACTAAGTTACTTTATATTATTCTGTAAATATCTTTCTATTTGACAACATTTCTTGCATGTTAAATCCTAATTACGTTGTTGTGATGTAAATAATGTATATTTTTAATTTAATATTTTGTAAATATTTTAAACGGCCCCTTGGAAATCAACTACCTAGGTGTGTTGAAGGGTTACCGTTTTTAAATAAGAGTTAATAAAAATAATAATAATGAATAGTATTAGCAAGATATGTTGCATCTGCATGCATAGATGAAATATCTTTAAAGACCAGCCTTATTTATGATATTTCTGCAGATGAAGTCTTGGGATTTGTAGATTTAGGTGCTATTAAGAAATGTGAGCTCATAGAAACATCTGCCCTTGTGGTTATGGCGTGTGGCATGGCTGACAAATGGAAGCAGCCACTTGGTTACTTTCTGGTGCATGAATCTTGCAAAGTATTGATATAAAAAGAATATTGTTTGATGCAATGGACAAACTCGATTCTATTGGTCTGAAGGCGGTTGTCTGTGTTATCTCTGATTTGGGCTGAAACTTCCAAAAACTGACGAGGGAGCTAGGAGTGACACCAACACAATCCTGGTTTCTTACCGAGTCTGGAAAAAGATCATCTTTCTTTATGACCCACCACACCTCATTAAGGCAGTCCGAAACAATCTTATGAAGTATGATTTCCACTTTGGTGGAGAAGTAGCTAGTTGGAAAGATGTTAAGAGCTTGTATGATCGAGACTCGTCATTGTCTATTCGCTGTTGTCCAAAGTTGACTGACAAGCATATCAACCCAAATGGGTTTACAAAAATGAAGGTCAAACTAGCCACGCAAGTATTAAGTCACAGTGTTGCTGCAGCTATTTCCACATATGTAAGGCTGCATGGGAGCCATGTCGCGAGTTTATCACAGCATTTGATAAAATCTTTGACTGCCTAAATAGTTCATCTGTAAAATGTCCTCATGTATCAGCTCATGGTAAACTACACAGGAAAGCACTTTCTGATAGTTCGGTCCATCTAAAATTTCTTACAGATGAGGCCATTCCATTCTTATCATCTATTAAAGTTATTAATAGAACCACTGGGGCTGATGCCACAAACACCTTAAGATGCTTAAAAGGATTTCAAATTACTTTGCATGGTATCCTGGCTTTATGGTCTGAGTTGAGAAGTACTCATTCATTCAAGTTTCTTTTAACTAGGCGTTTGAACCAGGATCCATTGGAGAACTTCTTTGGCACTGTCAGACAACAAGGAGGCAATTCTGGCAATCCCACCCCTGGTCAATTTCGCACGGCCTTCAAGAAGTTGTTTTATGATAACTTTCTTGTTTCTTCAGCAGGCAACTGCAATGCAGATTTTAATTCAATGTTGGTAGGAGCGCCATCTCAGAATGCGCTGTCTTCTCTCAGTAAAACCGTTCCTAAAACTGGGCCATTTGGAGGGCTTTTGGCACCTGCAAGCAGTTTTGATGACTATGTTGTTACTCTTGAGGACACTTGAATTACTTCCTTCTGTTGTATTCAAAGTTGGTGTTGGTAAATCTTTGCTTTCTCAGCTCCCTCTCAGTTATCTCTCCCTGAATGTTCTGAATTTCCTTCTTTGTTTTCTTCTTAAGCTTTTCATTCGAATGAGATTATATTATGCCTTAAAGTTTAGAAATAGACAGCTAGTATCGCCGGGGGGGGAGTAAAAAAATGTAAAAAATATTTTAAAGTAAGCCATTTGTAATCTTTTATATGCAAAGGGTTTCAAAAGAGTTATACTGTAATATGTAGCTTGAATTTTAAACTATCAAAAAGCCTGATTATAAACTAAGTTAATCGAAACTATCTCATTATTTTCCACAAAAAATAAAACAATAAAGACATTGGAATAGTTTTATCACAGCTAGTATACAGGGTGTCTCAAAAAAACCCAAAATCATTGAAATAACGTATTGTTCGAATTTCAATGCCGTAACACAAAGGATTTTGACAGGGTGATTAATTTGTTTTAAAAAATTAAAATATCTTTGTAAAGTGAACGTTTGTTTGCTCATGGGAATTTAAAAATGCTTCGTAAATTGTAATATGCGTAATATGCATTCGTGGGTTTAGTACTTTATGCCTGACATAACAAGTTTACGCTGAGTATTACCATTCATTATAGCAGTTATGTCAATCTTTTATGCACTCGTGGGATTAACTTAGTGCTAGGGCATTGAATATCGAACAATACGTCAATTTCAATGATTTTGGGTTTTTTTGAGACACCCTGTAGATTTTTTTCTTACTGCCCTTGATACAGTATTTTTGATACAGTATTTTTGGAAACTATACCTTTATTAAAACCCAGCTTAAGAGTTGTAATTATATGAAACTTTGCGTACAAATATAAATTGCCCCGGCCTACTTAACCGATGAAATCGATAATCGATGAATATCGATATGAATCAATACCAATCGATATTTATTAATCGATTGATATTGGAAATCAATGGTTTGTTTTTGCTGTGACTTTCATCAATTTATCAGCAATTTTTAATAGATTTTTATTAATAAAAACCTCTGTTAATTGCATGCAATCAAACAACATAACGAACTCAAATGTGAACAGAGTTCAGTGAATTAAAATGAATTAAATTAAGTTTTTATCCGGCTATACAGATCAAATACATGATTGTGTACCTTTGAAAAATATATATAAGCGCCCTGTATGCAGGTATATGTCGGCGCGACCGCCTAAAATCAAAGGCGTGTGCCTTCTGGTTCGTTTCCTTATTTTATTCTGTGGTTTCGACGTCTGGCGAAGCCTACTCTGGATTCCAGACGTCGTGAAGGCTCTGGTTCAACGGGAGGATTCTTTGATAAAACCGCGCCAATCACAAAACAGAATTAGTACGTGGTTTTAGTACAGATTCTGTACTAAAGAGGCCCACCAAGGGGTTATGACCGACAGGCAACATTCCTTAAAAAGAGGCGACAGACTATCTAAAGAAGAGCGACAAACGACAGCTTCTGGACTGGGAAAAAGCGACAAATTGCGATTTGTGTTATGGGTCAAAAGTGACAGCGACATTTATTACAATAAAACAAGCGACAAAGCAGCTACAAAATTAGTGACAGCTAGGCGACCTAGGTTACACCCTTGGTGGGCCTTACTAAAACCACTAATTAGGCCAAGTAGAAAAAATAGTAGTTTCTCGTCCGAATTTTGAAAAAAAAGGAGAACGCGAGTGCTTTTTTTTTAGACCTTCAAATATTGCTCTTAAAGTTTACCAAATAACCTATAAACACACGCAAATATTGAAGTTTACTCATAAAACGTAAATATATAATAAAATAGACAAACAGCTACTATAAATGCAATATGGCGCCAAAATAACAATATGCACGAACAGCGGCGCGAAGTACCGAACAGCAAGTGAGAGTTGACGAAACTAGTTCCGAACGGCAACTGAACTATGCCGAAAGGAGCAAAATGCCCGAAATATGTAAGTGGAATTTCTTTGAAAGGCTCGAATGCGGGCGGGGACGAGAAACTACTATTTTTTTTTGCTTGGCCTAAAGCCCGGCGCACACTGGAGCTATCAGCTGAGCTGAGCGTCACTCGTGACTGTTGGCATAAGCAAGTTCCCCCCAGTGTGCGGTGGCGTTTTGAGCGATTTCAGCCACGCGTGCCATCGGCACCGAATATTCAACATATTATTATTATTATTATTATTATTATTATTATTGTTATTATTATTATTATTATTATTATTATTATAAACTTTATTTTGACACGGTAGAATCATCAGTAAAAATTTACATAATATAGATGTATATAAAGTATAGAAAAAGGAAGAAAAGGAAAAAAATACAAATGTTATTTACAAAAGACAGAACAGTACTGATTTACATGATTGCCGTGTGTGAATCTAAGCTAACCAACATTCTAGAACTCGTTTAAAAGCACTAAGAGATTGTGCCGAACGAAGTTCAGTTGTTAAACTATTCCATAAAAAAGCTCCATCGTAGCTGGGTGGGCGCTTTAGATAATCTGTATGTGGCTTAGGGACAAATAATGTATTTTCATTGTTTCTCAATCTGTAAGGACAAGATCAGTAAGATCGCGAAATAAATATGGCTTGTAGATATTCCGGTACCCTCTTGTTTATAGTTTTATACAGAAGAATTGCTTTATGCTTTTTGCGATTGAAGAGATGACTGGTGCCAGTTTAACTCCTCCACTAAAAAATTCGAGGAGTTTTCATAATTATGTGCTTTCCGTGATCATACGAGCAGCACGGTTTTGTAACTTTTTTAACTTACTGCTCAGCTCGCTGCCGATACCATCCCAAACCGGGCAGCAGTAATTAAGGTAAGGCTCAATTAAGCCTTACTACACTTTCACTGCAATTTCCCTGTTTACAAATCGCCTCACTCGTTTGAGGGCACCAATTCCTGAGGATACTTTTTTACAGATAGTATATCAATATGGTTCTTCCAAGTTAAATTTTCATCAATTATTACACCTATAAAGATTTCGTGTACTGTACTCTTTTAATTTGAGTGTTATCTACGCATATATTAAGATTGTTAACATCATGGTACATCAGCCTCTGTCGAGAGTCAATGACCATGAATTCAGTTTTAGTAATATTTAAGCTTAATCTGTTCGCATTGAGCCAGGTGTTTAAACTGACTCAGCTCGGTGTTCATAATTTCTTCAAGATCAGGAAGATTAGAGCTTTGAAAGCTAATAATTGTGTCATCCGCGTACATACTCGATAAGCCATTGTTCAGACAGTTTGGCAAGTCATTGATGTAGACCAAGAATAAAAGGGGACCTATTATTGAACCTTGGGGACACCGTAAGTGATTGGTCGATTACAAGATAGATGTCCATTTACACAACATCTTTGTGTACGATCGGTTAGATAAGAGTGGAACCATGTTAATGCGTTTTCATCAACCCCGTATTGAGCAAGTTTATCATCACCAGAAATTTGGGACAAGATGGCGATGGACATGCGCACTTTGCCTTAATATGGCGACCGAAAATTACTATAAACAGTATAGGAGTTGACAAAAATATAAAATTTTAACCTATTTTGTTTAAATATTTCATTACTGTGGACTTCGATAATAACAACGAAGTGACTATATGACCGGCAGCCGGTCACGGTTTATAAAATACTAAATGGCCGGCAGTATAGTGACTATTGTTAAAGTTTAATTTTTATAAGATAAACCTATCCCCAACCCCAAACCCTTTTCTAACCCTAACCCCTAACCCTTTGAGAGTTAGAAAAGTCGGGAAAAAAAGTTTAAAAAATTTTAAGAAAAAATGCTAAGTCAGACAAAACATATCGCGACCCCGACTGCGCTTAACTTTCCGCACGCAGCGCCCTTGCCGTATGAGCTAACGGCAAGCTCGGTAAAAGTTAACGCAAACAAAAGTTTTTATATTCAACTATAGTCACTAGACTGCCGGCCATTTAGTATTTGATAAACCGTGACCGGCTGCCGGTCATATAGTCACTTCGTAATAACAACGACATGAACAAGCAACATTTCTACATAAAGTTTGTTAGCATTTGTTTACGTCTAGGTGGTTCCCGAGATACACGTACTTCCACTGGCAATTCCATCGAGTTGATAGTGTAATTTTATAGCAAATCGCTTATACACCAGATAGATATCCGTCGAATAATGTAGTATCCTTTCGGGCGATTCAAGCTGTGGACTTCGCGATGTAATTGTCGATGTTCAAACAGTTAATTTATCCAAAAACAATGCTAGTTAATCCACGACAAACCGGTTCCAAAATCGTTTAAAAGTTGGCCTTTTTACGGTTCTTGTATGTCGCCATTAGGCCATCTTAATATCCAAAAACGACAAGTTTTAATACAAATTTGAGCTGTTTCGAACAGCCATGTTTCTTGTTTATTTTGCAAGACTAGATCCAGGCTCTCACACGTAAAAACACAGGGATATTTTAGGATTTTTTAGGATATTTGCCATATTTTTAGTCTTGATAAAAATTTGCGGGGTTAAAGGTCAAAATACCGGAAGTGCTCAGCAAAAACTGCAAAATATAGTTTAAAATCACAATTTTTGGCTGAATAATACTTGAATTGGAGATTCAAAGTAAAATGCGAAGTCGTTTTACTTATGTTAGGCAATGTTAGGCATATAAAACGGACTTAGCCGCTGACTACAAAGCGGGAGCAAAATGTCCCATATTTCTGGGGCCGGTTGTATAAAAAAGTGATTAAAGTTAACTATGATTAAGTGCAAACGTCATCCAATAAGAAGCGCCTATTTGAGAGTTAATCACTATTTAACTACAAAATAGTGATTAAAAAAGTGATTAAGAGTTTTATACAACCGGCCTCTGGTAATGTCCAGAAGAATTGCGTGATCAATAGTATGTCTAGTATCGAAAGCTTTTTTTAAGTCGATAAAAACTAATGTTGAATAATTTCAGTCACGAATGAATATTTCCCCCAAGTGTGCGCGCTCGAAAAGCTATCACCTTTCATTGTAGATCGAATAGGCATGCGTAATAAAACATAAAACATAAGACTTTGGAAAATCACACTCATTAATTATTTCCCTTTTGTCTTATGTTTTTTTACGCATGTCTATTCGATCTACAATGAAAGGTGATAGCTTTTCGAGCGCGCACACTTGGGGGAAATGTTCATTCGTGACTGAAATTATTCAACATGTTGAATATTCGGTGCCGATGGCACGCGTGGCTGAAATCGCTCAAAACACCATCGCACACCGGGGGAACTTGCTTACGCCAACAGTCACGAGTGACGCTCAGCTCAGCTGATAGCTCCAGTGTGCGCCGGGCTTAATTCTGTTTTGTGATTGGCGCGGTTTAATCAAAGAATCCTCCCGTTGAACCAGAGCCTTCACGACGTTTCAATTTATTATTTACTGAAGGCTCTGGAATGCAGGGTAAGCGAAGCGGTAAAAAATAATTTTCAAAAAATAAATTTATTTTGGACACTTGTATACCAATGCCTTTCAACACACAAAAATTGAAGGAAATCTATTTTCCAAAGTCGAATCACCGGGGACCGCTCTTAGCGGGACTGCCACTTAAACCTGTATGCATGTACCCACCGGGCACACGACGTTGTTTCAACGTTGAAATTTGGTAGAAAAAAGGTTGCGACGTCGACAACCTAATATCTACGTTGCTCTGACGTTGTTTTACAAACATTGGTTCAACAGCAGCCAACAGACGTTGAATTAACGTTCATTCATGGTTAAATGTACGACGTCGATTTGTGAACCAATCTCAACGTTATTTTAACGTGGATTCAACGTTGAATTATGGTTGACGAGATTGGCAACCTAATTTCAACGTTAACGTCGAAACAGTAACGTCGATCCAATTTGCATAGTCAACCCTTCAGTCAGATCAACGTCTATCCAACGTCTGGAAGGTCATTTCCAACGTTGATTCAACGTTGGATAAACGTTATTTTGCCCGCTAGGTAATTTTTAACGAATTTCAAACAATCTGTAACTGAAGCCCTTTCGGGGAGGATCTAAATAAATTATATGTATTGTATTGTATTTACGTTCAGCTTGGTGCTGGGGCATTCAAATTCTAACAATACGTAAATACTTTATTTCAATAGTTTTGGGACTCCCTGCAGTTACTGTATAGTCGAGATTGGAGAGCATGCATGCATGCAGAACGGTATTTAAATTAGGCCTGCAACAAAAATGCTATCACAGATTGAAAAGACATGAATAAATTGCATTCATTACAAAATACATTTCGTTCTAAAACGTAGTCATTTTTATTCACGTATATTTTTCTTCAGTAAAGACGCGATGCCAGCATTTAAACGTCCTAGACCACACAGTTCAAGGAATTGTTGCTCGCGGTTTGTTGACTTTCTTGGAAGAACGGTATGTAGAAAGAAAGACGTCTTCGTTCAAACGTCGAAATTCATATGAATTGATTATATTAAAGTCTGGTTTCCATGTGGTCGTAAATTAATGGTAGTAAAAATCTTTCTCAACGGCCAATTTATAATAGTTTATACCTGTAAACCATACTATCACTCCGCGTATTTTCGGTTCTAAAATGTTGTATTTCGGCTGATGAGAAAGATCGTGACTCAATGCCGTTACGACCATATGGAAACCATGCTTAATTTCAACAACTAAGTGTCTAAGTTCATGTGAAGATAGACGTCTGAACCAGTTAGTTTCAACTGTTTTAATTAGGACCAATCCAACAAAGTAACTTTAGTTCGACATCGCTTGTCGGGCCAGTTGGATTGAAAGGTCGAACTTCACATGAACCAACCAACCATATTGACCATATTTATTTATATGCTATTACTCATTAGTCATTATGCCGCATTATAGACTCACCGCTGTTTTATCATTCTCGAAAATTATTAGGACTGGCTAATTTAAATTAAGGCCCCGTTTACACTATACCGGATTACTTTTCATGCCGGATTAATTTTCACTCCGAAGTAAAAACCAAGGGTGTTTACACTATAATTGCGTGCCGCTTCGCTCTGTTGCCAGCTCATGTCTCGCTGTCGCCATGGAAACAAGTACTATTTTTTGCAGTATACTGAAATTTATTAAAAACGAGAAGTAACACACGTTTTCTTTGTAAAGTATAACTTTGTTTAAAAAGCTTGACTACCAGGGGCCGGTTGTATAAAAAAGTGATTAAAATTAACTATAGTTAGTGGAAACATCATTCAATAAGAAGCGTGTATTTGAGAGTTAAACACTATTTAACTACAAAATAGTGATTAAAAAAGTGATTAAGAGTTTTATACAACTGGCCCCAGACGTTGCTTCGTTTCGCTCTAATCCAAAATTGATGAGTATTTCTTTAAATTTTGCCCTATCGAAAGCGAAAAGTCAATGTTATTATCGTTTTCTTTATTTGTCTTTGCCAGAAATAGTAAATGGTTGTAAGGCGAAACAAACTACAGCTCTAAAATATTGTAAAGGCGAGAAATAAAGGCGACAATGGTATAACGTACACGCCAAAACTGATTTTGTACTGAAGCACCGGATTGGCCTGCTTACACTGCCTCGGCACATACCGGAGTCCCAGGAATTTCGCCCCCGCTTCAATTTCGCCCCCTCCCCCAGGGGGCGAAACTCCTAGTAATATCACCCTCCCGGGGGGCGAAATTCCTAGGAAATTCGCCCCCTTTAGGAAATTTGTCCCCTTCAGGAAATTCGCCCCCCTTTAGCGGAAACTTCACCTTTCCATTAGGGGTTTCGTCCCCCGTCAAAAATTTCGCCCTTGGGATAATTATTACATGGCTTTAGTAATTTGAAATCAGTATCAATGTTAAGAATACAAATTTACAATTGCATGTATCGAAAAGGCTTAGGGGCGGGCCATTTGATTTTTGAGGGGGGTTGGAAGATTCAGACTGTGCAAGATTTTTTTTCCCTCCCAGGGGAACAAGACAGATGTTTTTTTCCTGTAAAAGTGCAGCGCAAGATATTTTTCTCCCAATATATTTCGCGGCAGGATATTTTTTATTTGCCTCTCATAATAACGGCTTACAGTAACTTAAGGCTTTCATATAGCTATCGTCAGAGACGTAGCCGGGGTTTTCAGTCAGAGGAGGCCGAGAACTGAATTCCAAGAGGGGCCAAGGAATTTTCACTGTGCTTTATTTTATATGGTTATGTCTTAATGTTCCACGCACTAAAGCGTGCAGGTTTACTTACAAAAAATGTATAACTGCACCAAAACCTAAAACATGCAGGGATAGAGTAGAGTACTCGAAAATGGGGGAGGTACAGTATATGAATGACCTGTAACCTTGGGGGGTTCAGGATTTTAAAATTTGAACCTCGGAAATGCTATTTCCTGCGTTTTCAGCCATGGATTCGTCCAACAACTTTGTTGTACTAAGCCTAAAGAACACTTACTGTCCTTTATTTTAAGCAAGGGAAAATCACAAAATGAGCTTTGATTAATATGTAATAAAACAAGATTTCAATAATGCGATTTTTAACTGCCCTCCGAAACAACAATGTTCCACCAAATATAGCTCTGTAGCTTTTCAATCGTTCATACAGATAGCTTGTTGGGGATCGGGTTGCATCCTCTTCAGAATTTTTTTAAAATCTAGACTCTCTAAACTGGCATTTTCGCATTAAAATCATCGTATATACAGTACGTTCAACTTGCATCCTGTAGATGGGCCTTTGAAGCTTTAATAGTTTGGAGCTATGTTATCAAAAAACGCACACAGACTCAACCATCCAAAAATACTTTTTCTACCATGCATATTAGATATGTATAAATAACTTATAAACTTGTACATATCTTAAGCCCAGATTTTCTCAGGGGGGGGCAACAATTTTGCCAGGGAACGCCACTGGCTATCGTATATTATAGACTCCAAAGGCGGTAGAATCCCTGTGATGTTGTCCACTGTTCACCCAGTGTTCTTCAAAAGCAAATGTGCTTGCTCAAAAATGCAAAATCTAGCAAGCCTGTGGACACAATACTGAAGTGAAGAATGTCAGTAGATTTACATGTAGGAATTTTTTTTTTGAGCGCTATCTTTTGCATGATATTTTTTTTCCTCGATTGTATGCTGCATGATTTTTTTTTTCTTTCTCCTTGGATTGCAGGAATTTTTTTTTCGAAATCTTACAACCCC